CTCCCCCCCCCCACCCCACCCCACCCCCTCCATGTGAATCTCTGTGTCTGTCACTGCTGCCGTCACCGAGGGAAAAGGGCCAGGGACCCAGGAGACCTGCTTTCTCAGTTGCTGGTTCCCAGGCCCGCCTCACTGGGCTGTGGCTTCCTGTTTGCCTTAGGCAAACCCCAGGGGACCCTCCAGCTGGCAGGGCCCCCACCTCCCTTTGGGGGGGTTGGGGTGGCTGGGGAGGGGGGAAGAACATGGAGCCAGTGAGGGGGCAGGACCCCATCTGCCTTTCCTTCAACAGAATCTCTCTCATCCCTTCACTAGCTTCCCAGCTGCCTCACACGCAGAGTCTTCTTGCTAGAGCATGCCAGCTCCCTGCTTAGAAGGTTCCAGCGACTGTTATCTGCCTAAAATAAATATTCCAAAGGCCTGAGGGAGGCTGCCCGTGACTACATTTCCTACCTCAACTCTCCGCCACTCTGCCCCTGACTCAGGGCCTTTGCACTTGCTGCCCTTCTTCCTGGATCTACTCTCGGCTCTTCACTCCACTGGCTACTTTCCATTGCTTAACTCTCAGTTCAAACATTGCTTCCTCAGACAGGCCTTTCCTGACACCCCAGGTACTTTGAAATTAACCTCACACGCCTGTTTTATTTCCTTCCCAGTATTTGCCCCAGTCCCAAAGTCCACTTGTTTATTTTTTAGTCTTCTCATTGGCCACCTGCCCTAGATTATTCATTGTGCTACAACAGGGGTCTTTACTGCCTGGTTCACTGGCATCCAGTAGGTGCTCAATAAGTGTTTGTTGTATAAAGGAAGGAAGTTAGTTATGGTTTCCGAAGGGGAAATGAACGGGGGGGGGGATAAAATAGGGGGATGGGATTAAAAGATATAAATTAATATACATAAAATAGATAATGAACAAGGATTTAGTGTATAACACAGGAAACAACTTCAATATCTTGTAATAACCTATAATGGAAAATAATCTGAAAAAAAATATATATATATACACAACCGAAGCAGTCTGCTGTACCCTGAAACTAACATAATATTGTAAATCAACTAAAATAAATAAATAAATAAAAAGGGGAAGGAAGTTAGGAAGAGTGACAGGAAACTTTTTCTCTTTCCCCCATGTACTCAGTCACCAAAGCTAGTTCATCTTCTATCCTCAATATTTCTAGAGTCAATTTTCTCCTATTTTGGACTCTTCTCAACCAGAACCATTTCAACAGCTTCTTTTGTGGGCTCTCTGTCCTCTACCTCCTTTACTTCCCACCCACATTCCTCACATTCCTCACAGAGAGTGTTTCCTTGGAATTAGCCCTGTGCTTCCCCTGCTCAACAGCCTTCAATGACTCCCAGGGTCTCGGGTTAAAATCCAAGCCTGATAGTTGACCGGAACCTTATTTACAGGCATCATTTCATGCCCTTCCCAAGAAACCCTGCTACATATACAGGGAGTCTGAACTCTATTCTGAGGGCAAGAAGCTCTTGGGGATTTATAATCTAGGAGTTGCCCTGGTCAGATTTGCATTTTCTAAAACTACCCAGGCTGCAGTGGGGGGGGGGAGGGGAGGGGGTTGGAGGGAGGCCAGAGAGATCAGTAAGGAAAGTGTTCATTCATTCATTCACCAAATATTTATTTATTACTGTTTATTTACCCGGCACTGTGCTAGGTGCTGGGAAAATAACAGGGTACAAGAAAGACAATGTTCCTAATCTCATGGAGCTCTGATTCAAGTCTTGGGGGCCACAGAAGGCTAAAGAGGGTAATAAACATGTTAACCAGTAAACAATTGGTTAACCAATTGTTAATAAATAAGTTAACCAATAAACAATTTCAGGTGGTGAGAAGTCTCTAACACGATCTAATGGTGGACAGGTGATAGAAGTGGCTACTTTAGATACGGTGGTCAGGGAAGGCTTCACTGAGAAGGTGACTTCGGAGCCAAGACCTGGGGTGGGGAAAAGCTTGATGTGTTCAGGTAAGGTCATGTTTAGTTTTCAGCGGCCATGGCTCACGGGCGCAGCCGCTCCGCGGCATGTGGGATCCTCCCGGACCGGGGCACGAACCCGCGTCCCCTGCATCGACAGGCGGACTCCCAACCACTGCACCACCGGGGAAGCCCGGTCATGTTTAGTTTCGTAAGAAATTGTCGTACCCTTTTCCACAGTAGCTATACCGTTTTACATTCCCATCCGGAATATATGAGAAACTCAGTTTCTCCATCTATTCACCAGCATTTGGTATTATCACTCTTTCTAAATTTTAGCTGTCCTGGTAGGTGTGCAAGTAGGAAATCTGCACTTCCCTGATGGCTAATGATGTTGAATATCTTCTTTCACGCACATATTTGCCATCTGCGACATCAATGAAATGTCTATTCCTGTCCTTCGCCCATTTTTAAATGAGACATGACCTGTTTTACAAAGATCACTCTTAATTGCTTTGAGAATTAACTAAAGCGGCCAAATGGCAACACAGGGGGAGCCTCTGGCAGCGTGGAAGTTCAGGAAAGAGATGATGGGGACTGGGGCTGGGTGGGGCTAGTGATGGTGGGACTGGGGCTAGGTGTCAGAGCTGAAGATGAAGAAAAAGGGACCCGTTCTGGAATATTCAGTCTTTTGGAGGTACAGCTTACAGGACTTGCAGGAGGACACGAAGAACCAAGGACTTGCAGGCTCCTGGAATGTACTTTCCAGAGGGAGAAACGGGTTTGGGAGAAAGGCAATCAAGGCTCTAGACTGAAGTTTGAGTTACCTGTCACCGTCCAAGGGGAGAAATCAGGTCGGCTGTTGGAGGGGAGAGGTCACAGATAATGAGAGCTTGACCTAGGGCAGCGGCCAACAGAGGAAAGGAGGGATTTGAGAGGCACTGGGAGGTGGAGGGAGGATTAGCAGGAAGCGGTGACCGGCTGAATATCAAAGTGGGGGTGGGGACTTGGAAGTTTCTGACTTCTACGACTGACTACGCGGGGACCCAGGCGCCCAGAAAAGTGAAGTCGACCCAGCAGCCCTGCCCCGAGGACGCTCCACGAAAGCGGAGGTGCAAGGAGGCCAGACCACAATTCGCTGTAACGTGATACTAGCTCAGGCGGAAGGGCGGCCAGGGACCGATCAAAGGGGTCAGCTCCGAGGCTTGGGAGAGACCGCGAGAGCTTCGCCCTCCTTAGGCTGAGGCAGTGGGCGTCCCGGAGGACGTGTAATTTGAGCAAAGCTTCCAAGGTCACGCGGAGACGCCCAAAGGCCTTTGACGAAAGAACTACTTCGTGGTTTGAAGGTCAGGCGTCCTTCTCGAGCATCGCTGCCCAACAAAGAAGGCGGGGAGGGGCGGGACCTGGGGCCGCGGCCGGGAGTCCACTCGGAAATCTTCGGCCGAGGCTCGGCCACCCCTCCCCAACTCCGGCCTCAGCCTCGAGCCCAGGGCCGATCCGGAAACAGCCGAGCGGATCCGGAAACAGCCGAGAGGACCCGGAAGCGGTGAGCGCAGTCACCAGGGAGTGCGGGAACCCGCCGTTTGAGCGGAGGCGATGGCGGCACCTGCGCCGGCGGCCGCGGGCGAGGATGCCCGGCGGCGGCAGCCGGAGGCCGGTATGTGAGGATGCGTCCGTGCACGCGAGGGGCGGCGAGGCCGGAGGCGGGGCCGATCTTGGCGTCGGTGGGTGGGGGGTGGTGGTGGGAGCCTGGAGAAAGGGGCGGGACCACGCCGCCGGGGGGGGGGGGGGGAGATGGAGGGGGCGTGGTCTAGCGATTCAAGGGAGAGGGCCAGTGGCAGGTTAGAGGTGGGGCCCAGTGTGGGAGGGGAGGAGCCAGGTGGACAAGGGGCGAGCCACTAAAAGGGAGGGGTGGTGTCAGAGAAAAGAGGGGATTGGGTGAACCGAGGGAGGAAGAGGCGGGGCTCTAGGCAACACTAGGCGGAGCTAGGTGAGGAGGAGTCGGGGAAGGCGAGGGGCCAGGTGAGTGGGGCGGGGCTAGGTAAAGGTGCAGGGACCTTGGCTGCTGTACTAAGTTGCAGAAGTTGAGGATTTGATGCCCTGGGAATATTGGGAATCCGAGAGTGATGAGAAAAGAGGCTGATCCCTGTCCTTCACAGCGCTGGACCCCCAGACTCCGGAGGGGACAAAAGTTGAGGCCGAGTCAGGGGAGCTCGACCGGCTTCGGGCTGAGCTGGCAGGCGCCCTGGCAGAAATGGAAACCATGAAGGCTGTGGCCGAGGTGAGCGAGAGCACGAAGGCCGAGGCTGTGGCTGCAGTGCAGCGGCAATGCCAAGAGGAGGTGGCCTCGCTGCAGGCCATCCTGAAAGGTGAGGCAGGCACTCCTCCCAGACTCCCTCAGCCCCATAAGGGGGAGTACATGACAAGAAAGGGGTCAGCGGGCATAACCTATACCTATGGAGTAGGTTAGCAGGGCTGCCTAGCGCAGGGCAGACCCAGGGGCTCAGAGGGAGACGCGCCCTTTTCTAATTTGCATAGCGGTGTTGGCTGCGCCAGCAGCAGCTCTGTCAGTTCCAGCTAAGTTTAGCTCGGAGCTGCTACCTGTTCCCTGGCCCCATGTCGTGTCATTTCTTGTCCCTCACTGATGACTGATCAACCCTGAAAGTGAGCAGCTTCTCAGTTCCCTGAGAACTCGTTTGAGCCTCTGACCTTCAGACTCGGCCCTGGGCCTAGTCTCTGTAAGTCCCATCATCTGGTTTCCCTTCTTCCCCAAACACCCCTACATCCGCGCACAACCTCCCCGCAACCCCGCCCCACATGCACCGGCTTCTCCCCCTCTCATCCTCTGTACTTGGGACGCATCAGCTCCCCTTATCCCAGATCCCCCAGCTTCTTTTCCTCCATTCCCCTTCTCCTGTAGTCCAAGGCCAGAGTCTCTGCAGTAGCTCCCAGTTGCATCCCACCCCTTTGCTTCCACTGCCACTGCTGTAGCAAAGCTCTCGTCAACTTCCCCGGACTGTTGTCCCAGCCTTCTTACAAGTCTCCCTCTATAATCTGGCCTTGACATTGACTTCCAGAGTAAACTTCCTACAGTTCCCATCCCACCATGTCATTTCCCTTTCTAACAGCTGCTCCTGGCTCCAGACTTCTCTGGGGCCATGGTTCCCCACATTTCAGGCATCCATGTACCATCTGTGCAACATGGTTGTCCTTGTATGACTTACCCTGTCATCTACTTAATATTGTTCTTTAAATGGATCCACTTTTAAAAAACCTATATACATTTATTTTAAAGGGAACTTCCTGTCCCTGTAAGAAACTGTGTCCTAAATAATAATAATAGTAATAATAATTATAATAACTAACATTTATTGAGTGCCAGGCACTGAGCTAAATGCTTTATGAGTATTTAATCTTCATAATAATCTCTATGAGTTAGGAACTATTATCCATCTCCATTTTACAGAGGAAGCTCTGAGGCCCAGAGAGGTTAGATAACTTGCCTAAGGTCATACAGATAGAAAGGAGATTTGAACCCAGGCAGTCTGGCAACAGAACCCTTACTTCTAATGTTAGTATGTGTTAAAATAAATAACTATGCAAATGAAAAATGACCATGTTCCGCCCAGCATCCGCTTACCTCCCACTGACATGTAGGATAAACCCCAAACTCCTTGGCGTGGCATTCAAGGCCTTAGCAGCCATTCACGGCCACCCTCTTCACCCTTCCCAGCATCTCCTCCTACATCTTCACTCCAGTTTTTCCAATGTGCCCACCATGCCCCAGCCACACCATCCACCTTCCCACCTGTGAGCCTTTGCTCCTGTTACTTAATGTGTCCTTTCCATCCTTTACCACTTGCTGATGTCTCTCCTGGCCTGGCAGGTAGAGTGAGGGGCTCTTTCCTCTGGGATCCGCAAGCCCAGGAGTGGTCCTTTCATGAGCTCTCCTCACACTGCTTTGTAACTATTTCCACGGCTGTCTTCCTCATTGGACTGTGGGCTCCTGGTGTCAGGGTTTGTGTTTGATTAATTTCTCTATTTCCAGAGCCCAGCTCAGAGTCTGGTCCAGAGTGAATATTTATGACTCTTGCTAGATATTGATTGTTATCGGTATGTATTAATAGCAACAGATAGCCTATCTTTAGCATTTATTATGTACCAGGAAGAGGGCTGAACCCCTTCCAGATATCATGTCATTTGATCCTGTAACAAGCCAGTGGGATAATCACTGGCCGAGGACATTATACAGAGAGGCGAACTGATTGCCCAGGACCATCCCACCACAAAGTCCACTGTCATCACTGCTATGGTAAATTGCCTTGCAGAGAGCGGCAGTGATGGAGCGCCCCCCGCTCGCCCCGAGGTATGGCTAGTGCACTGGCCCTCCCTCTCCTCTGCCCTTCCTGTCTCGCCAGACTCCATCAGCAGCTATGAAGCCCAGATCACGTCTCTGAAGCAGGAGCGGCAGCAGCAGCAGCAGGACTGTGAGGAGAAGGAGCGGGAGCTGGGGCGCCTGAAGGAGCTGCTGTCCAGGGCTCACCCCCTGGACTCCTTGGAGAAGCAGATGGAAAAGGTTGGGGTTGGGATAGCCTACCCGCCCCCTCCTCAGGGATTTGGAAATATGTTGAAGCAGCCAAAGGTGACCGTGGGGCAGAGGGATTATCTGTGTCCCACTGCCACATCACTGGGAGCAGGGCACCCAGTAATAATTCTAGGTATAACATACACGAGCCCTGTACTCAGCACGGTCCTGGCTGGCCACTTACTAGTGGGATGGCCAGGTGTGTTTACCTCCCAAATTAAGAAAAGTCATGTAGGGAATTCCCTGGCGGTCCAGTGGTTGGGACTTGTGCTTTCACTGCAGGGGCCTGGGTTCGATCCCTGGTCGGGGAACTAAAATCCCGCAAGCCACGTGGCGCAGCCAAAAAAAAGAAAAAAGTCATGTCATGCACTAGGCATTGCAATACCTGCTTGACAGATTCAAGTCTCCCCAGTCTTTCCCCTAAAAGAGGGACCCATTAGATCCATTTAACAGATGAGTAAGGTGAGGCTCAGAGAAGTTTAGTAATTCTCCCCAGGTTATGCACATAAAAAGGAGCAGATCTGGGATTTTAAAATCTAGGCAGTCTGGTTCTAAAGCTTTGCTCTTAATCTCTGTGGTATATTGCCTCCATTATTCTTGTCATGAACAATTGTAGGAAGCACATATTACCAAACTCTTCATCTTTCAGAGCAAATTCACATCTTCCCTCATTTCATTCACACAGCTGCCCTGTGAGGTAGGTACTTACCTCACTTTGTACGTGAGGAAACTGCGGCTCAGGCAGATGGAGTAAGTTGCCTGGTTAGAAGGACACAGATCAAAATAGGAGCCCAAGAAAGGAAGGTTCCAACCCACAGTTTGCCAGCAGAGGCTGCTACTTACTTGCATTCAGAGTGTTCCTCAGGGAGTGGTTACACAGGGAGAGGGCTCCGCTGAATTAAGGCTACCTGGTACGGCGCAAGGAGCCACAGGCCCAGAGTTGGGAAGTTCCGGTCCTGGCCTTGCATCCATCTACGGCGTGGGCATCTGCAGAGCATGCAGGCTTACCCTACCTGTTGCCACTGTGCACATAAGAGATTTGGAGGGTTAAACTGAACTTGTCTGAGACGGGTTTTTGAGTGATTCGAGAGGTAGAAATGGCATGACTTGGAAGAGGATGGATGACTGGCAGATTTCTGCCTTGGACAGCTGGGTGGATAGCAGTGTCATTCTCGCCAATCTAGCGCTTATGGGAGGAGAAACGGCATCATGAGTTGGTTCAGATTTGGCTGTACTTGGACAGAGGAGCCTGTGCAGCATCCAAGTGGAGGTGTCCAGAGGCTGTTGGCTGTGCAAGTTCGACAGGATCCCAAACCTGAAAAGACTGAAAAGAAGTGGCCAGAAATATGCCGGTGATGGGAGTATGGGAAGACATATTGATTAGGACAAAGTTTGAAAGCCCAAATAACAGTGGCTTAAATAAGATAGAAATCTGTTTTTCTTAGAACCAGAGGTAGACATTCCAGGACTTATGTGGCAGCTCAACAAGTCAATAGGAACCCAGGCTCCTCCTATGTTGCTGTTTTGCCATAGGTAGCTTACTGCCTCATGGTCCAAGATGACTGCTTGAGCACCAGCCATCACATCCACATTTTAGCCAGCAAGAAGGAGGAGGAGTAAAGAAAAGCATACCCTCTCCCTTTGAGGAGTTGTCCTGGAAGTTGCACCTGACACATATGCCTACATCTCATAGCTGGAACTTAGTCATATGGCCATGCTTAGTTATAGGGAAGCTGAGAAATGTAGATGGTATTCTAGAATTTAGGTCATGAGCCCAACTAAAAATGTGACGTTCTATGATAAAACGGGATACATGATGTTGGGGAAGAAATGTATGTCACTCTGCAAGTGGGCAACAGGAAGGTAGTTGTGACTTTGGCTCTGTACCGTGTGACCTGGGGCAAGTCATGTAAGCTCTCAGAGCCTCTGTGTTCCTCTCTCTAAAATGGGGGTGGGGACTTCCCTGGTGGCGCAGTGGTTAAGAATCCGCCTGCCAATGCAGGGGACACGGGTTTGAGCCCCGGTCCAGGAGGATCCCACATGCTGCAGAGCATCGAAGCCCGTGCGCCACAACTACTGAGTCTGCGCCCTAGAGCCCGCGAGCCACAATTACTGAGCCCACGTGCCGCAACTGCTGAAGCCCACGCGCCTAGAGCCCGTGCTCCACAACAAGAGAAGCCACTGCAATAAGAAGCCTGCGCACCGCAACGAAGAGTAGCCCTGCTCGCCGCAACAAGAGAAAGCCTGCGCGCAGCAACGAAGACCCAACACAGCCAAAAATAAATAAATAAAATATTTAAAAAGTAAATAAATAAAGTGGGGGTGGACGGTGCCTGCTTGGGAGAATTAGAAGAGCTGATGTGCTTGGAGGGAAAGCTCTGAACAGTCCTGAGGGTCCTGCAGTCGGGAGGGGGGGACAGTCACTGCCCAACCCCCCTTCTTCAGGCCCACGAGGACTCGGAGAAGCTGCGGGAGATCGTGTTGCCCATGGAGCAGGAGATTGAGGAGCTGAAGGCGAAATTGCTGAGGGCAGAGGAGCTGATCCAAGAGATCCAGGTGGGGCTTCCCTGGTGGCGCAGTGGTTGAGAGTCCGCCTGCCGATGCAGGGGACACGGGTTCGTGCCCCGGTCTGGGAAGATCCCACATGCTGCGGAGCGGCTGGGCCCGTGAGCCATGGCCGCTGAGCCTGTGCTCGGCAATGGGAGAGGCCACAACAATGAGAGGCCCACATACCGCAAAAAAAAAAAAAAAAAGAGATCCAGGTGAGGGGGTGGCCAGGGTGCGCTGAGAGAAGAAGGGGCGCCGTAGGACCCTGGCCCCCCAGCCTCTTCCCTGCCCCCTCTCCCTAGAGACGTCCCCGGCATCCCCCTTCCCTGCACGGCTCCGCGGAGTTGCTCCTGTCCCGGGACCCATCTCCGCCACTGGAGCATCTCGAGGAGCTGAGTGGAGACGGGGGCGCGGCGGCCGAGGCCTTCGCCCACAACTGTGACGACAGCGCCTCCATCTCCTCCTTCTCCCTCGGCGGTGGAGCCAGCGGCAGTGCCTCCCTGCCCCGCAGCCGCCATGGCCTGAGCCCCGAGCAGGAGGAGACAGCCTCTCTGGTGTCCACGGGCACCCTGGTCCCTGAGGGCATCTACCTGCCCCCTCCTGGTTACCAGCTCGTCCCAGACAACCAGTGGGAGCAGCTGCAGGTGGAGGTGAGTGGAGTGGGCGGAGTGGGCAGCCGACATGCACGCGTCCGTTTCTTGCTTCAAGTACTTACTGAGCACCTACTATGTCCAGGCCCTGAGCTAGAGCTGGGGATCCTGCAGTGAAGAAGAAACTGCCTACCCTCTTGGAGCTTCCTCTAGTGAGGGAGCCAGGCCCAAACATGCACATGGGCACATGAGGAAGACAGTGTCACTGGGTGAGACACCCAGAACAAGACTTAATAGGGTAATGGGGTAGAGACTGGCAATGCAGGAGACCATCCTGGCTGGAAAGTGAGGTGCTTTTTGAAGATTGGGGACCAAAGGAACTGCAGTTTCCAAGGCCCAGAGGACGGACAGACCACGGTGTGTCTGAGGAGCAGGAAGGCCACAGAGGAGGGGAAGAGAGATGAGGTCAGAAAGGCAGGCAGGGGTCACAGGAGGTTGGCCTTGGCCTTGGGGCCAGCCATGGAGTTTGCATCTTAGAGGAGAAGCTGCAGGAAGCCTCTGTGGTGTGTCAGGCAGGGAGAAGCCTTCTCTGCTCCAGGCTTTTAACAGGTCACTGGGGCCTCTGGGTGGGAATGGACTGCAGTTGGGGGAGGGGGCAACAGGAGAAGCAGGGTAGTGAACGGTTGGGAGGGCGATGCTTGACATAGTTTAGAGAAAGGTGGTGACTGGGACCAGGAGATGGCAGCAGAGGTGGAGAGAAATGGGTGGATTTGGAATCCACTTTGGAGGCCACCGCGCAGGGACTGCTGGTGGGTTGGACCTGGGGAGTGGAGGACTTAGAAGAGTCAGCATCCATTCCTGGGCCTTTGCCTTGAACGACTGGGTGAAAGATGGCACTGCCCACCGAGGTGCAGGGAGCAAGGCGTGAGAGGTCTGGCGAGGAGGGAAGGCCTCCCCTTGGCGGTTGAGGCTGAGGCCGGCGTCTGTGGCAGGGGCGGCAGCTGCAGAAGGACCTGGAGAGCATCAGCCGGGAGCGGGATGAGCTGCAAGAGGGCCTGAGACGGAGTAACGAGGACTGCGCTAAGCAGGTGGGTTCAGCCTCTGCTCCGCAGGGCCTCCGCTCCCCGCCTCCTCCTGGCCCGGCCTCACCCTTGCCCCCCTTCCACCCACAGATGCAGGTGCTCCTGGCCCAGGTCCAGAACTCAGAGCAGCTGCTGCGGACCTTGCAGGGGACCGTGAGCCACGCCCAGGAGCGGGTTCAGCTGCAGATGGTGAGGGCTGGGCCCGGGACGGGAGGGAGAGGAGTGGGACGGGAATTGGTTGAGGGAGCCACGTGGAAGGTTGAGGCACCTGTCCTTCCTCGCCCCCTGCCCCCCTCCCCACCAGCCGCTCTGGCTTTGCCCTGGAGTTGGTGCCAGGTGGGTAAAAGGGTTTCAAGGGCACCTGGTACTGATTCAGAAGAACCCACCGCGCACTCACTGTGATCTTGAGCTAATCCCACAAGCCCAGAGCCTCAGCCTTGATGCCTTGAAATTGAGATAATGGGTCCTAGCTTACAGAGTTGTGAGAGTGAAGAGCCGGGATTGCAAAATCGGATACTTCCTGAGGCCAGACAGGAGAGGTAGATGATTGAACTGGGCCACGCGCGAGGCAGGAAGGAGTAGCAGGGCAAACCAAGAGACCCTGTAAAGGGAGCTAGTGCCCCTTGACTCGCTGCCCATGGTGCGTGGGAGTGGCTGCCTGGTTTTCTCATTTGTCGGGAGAAGCCAGAGATCCGGATGTTTGTGTGTAGTCTCCCAGTTTTTAATGTTGTACTTGTTGAAGGTTTTGTTTGTTTGTTTGTTTGTTTTGCGATACACGGGCCTCTCACGGTTGTGGCCTCTCCTGTTCTCCCGTTACGGAGCACAGGCTCCGGATGTGCAGGCTCAGCGGCCATGGCTCACGGGCCCAGCCACTCCGCGGCATGTGGGATCCTCCCGGACCAAGGCACGAACTCGCGGTCCCTGCATCGGCAGGTGGACTCTCAACCCCTGCGCCACCAGGGAAGCCCTTTGTTTAAGGTTTAAAAACACCCATATGGACCAAATAAAACACCCGACGTGGCCTGTGGCTGCCACTGTGTGACCTCCAAGTCATTGAGGACGGTGTAGTAAGAGCTTGAGGGAGTTCCCTGGCGGTCCAGTGGTTAAGACTCCACACTTCCACTGCAGGGGGCCCAGGTTCGATCCCTGGTCAGGGAACTAAGATCTCGTGAGCCACATGGTGTGGCCAGAAAAAAAAAAAAAAAAAAAGAGCTTGGGAGCCAAAGACGCTTACTAAAGGGTGTTTCTTTCTTTCTCAGCCTAGAAGGAGGGCGTGGGCTTCCTGGCTCTCATTCCTGACCACTGGGAGGAGTGTTCAGGCTTTGGCCTCACGGGAGACTGGAGACCCCCTGTCCCCTCATCGCCTCGTCCTAACTGTCCATCCCCAGGCAGAGCTGGCTACCTCGCACAAGTGCCTGAGCCACGAGGTAAAGCGACTGACTGAGGAAAACCAAGGGCTCCGGGCTGAGCAGCCGCCGTCTTCAGCCCCCCGGGGCCTGGAGCAGGATGAGGGCCAGGAGGAGTCGCTGCCCGGCTCGCTGCTGGTAAGGCGGGGGACAGGCCCTTCCTCTCCACGCACAGCAAAGCATTGGCCTGGGGCCACAGGAGTCGGGGACGCACCCAGGCTGCTGTGTATTAGCTGCCTCACCATGGCCAACTCACTCAACTTTTCTAAGGCTCAGTTTCCTCCTCTGCCAAATGGGACCACACCCCCCTCCCAGCATCAGCACAGAGAGAAAATGAGTTAACAGAATGCTTGATGCAAAGGAAGCAGTAATTTGGCTTGTTATTTTTAAGTGACATGAGATCCACAAAATTGAATTCATCATAATCTTTGGTTCATAATAAGCTGTCATCATTGATCTGTGTGTGGCCTCTGCTGATTGAATTTATTAAAAATATGAACATCAGCCGGAACCCTTGCCCACCTTGAGAACTGTAACTGACATCGCCTTACATGCGCCCCGCCCCGTGCTCCTTGGCTCTGTTCCTGCCGTCCTGAGCTTTATCATTCCCTTGCCCTTCTTTGGGATCATTTTTATTACATATACACGTCTGCCTAATTTTAGTTGTTTTTAGTTATAAAAACTCAGAATCTTGCTCTGGGTAGTCTCCTGGAGCTTTCACTCAGCACCGCTCCCGAGGTCCTCCACCCCGGGTTGTGCTGCGGGAAAATATTCACTGCCGTCCCAGGGTATTTGTCCACTCTCCCCGTGATGGGTGTTCGGGTTGTTTCCTCTGTTATGTTTTCTTCCTTCTTTCCTTCCTTTCCCCTCCCCACAATCCCCTTCTAGCCGCTGGCCCCCGGCCGGCCCCGCACCCAGCCCGTGACTTGCATCCTTCCAGGAGCTGCGGCAGCTGGTGCGCCGCACTCGGCAGGAGGCGCGGGCCCACCAGCAGGCCCAGGAGCACGAGGCCGAGCGGCTGCGGATTGAGATCGTGACCCTGCGGGAGGCGCTGGAGGAAGAGACGGCGGCAAGGGCCAGCCTGGAGGGGCAGCTGAGGGTGCAGCGGGAGGAGACAGGTGAGGGAGGAGGCGGCGAGCCACCCCACCCTCGCTCCCCAGGAGGCTGAGTCCCCACCCCCTCGGGGACTGCCTGGGCACCAGGAGGGGAGAGAGGACGCAGTGCGAGAATGATGAGCCTTGACCTCTCTTTCTTTCCTTCCCGCACAGAGGTGTTAGAGGGTGAGTATGGGCTGGAGCCTGTGCCGGGCCGGGCGGGGCAGGGAAGGAGAGAGGGCGTGGGCCTGACGCCTTGGCCCTGCCTGACTTCCCAGCCTCCCTGTGCAGCCTGAGGATGGAGATGGAGCGGGTCCAGCAGGAGCAGAGCAAGGTGAGGCAGGACCCGGGCCAGGCCGGGATGGCGGAGGAGGGTGGCAGCGTGGAGAGGACCCTCACCAGCCCCTGCTGCCCTTTATGTCTCCCTTAGGCCAGGCAGCAGGAAGTCCTGAGGCAGCCACTGGGCTCGGGCCGCACAGAAGAGGTGAGGATCGGGGGCGGTATTGAAGGGGTTACCCTGTCCAGACATCCTGTTCCTTCAGCCCAGGGCCCCAGCTCTACGTCCTGTGCCCCCAGGCGCAGCTCACAGACCTCCTCTCGGAACAGAGGGCAAAGGTGCTGCGGCTGCAGGCTGAGCTGGAGACCAGTGAGCAAGTGCAGAGGGATTTCGTACGACTGTCCCAGGCCTTGCAGGTACGGCGTGTCCCCTCCCCACCAGACTGGCATGACTCCAGGTGACTTGTCCTCCGTCTTGCAAGGATAGTCTCCCAGTTAGAAGAGTCCTCTCCCTCCCTCTGGGGCTGGCATGGTCCTTTCCTCTGAGCTAGTGCTCAAAAAACGTTGAAGATCTTGTGCTTCCATCTTTGTCGGTGGTGCGAAGCCCATGGCCCAGGGCCTGGCACGCCGACGTGCCCCGTGCTCATCACGTCACTTCCACCTGCCCCTGCCCACCCTTCCTCAGGCTGCTCTCTTAGGATCCATTTCTTCCCTTGAACCACTTTCACTGGGGGTTGGGAGAGGTGAGGTACACGGGTACACTGGTCCCGTGCTCTTGCCCCTCAGGGGGCTGGCCGATGGGGTGGAGGCTGCATTTTCCCACCAAGGGCCCTCTGCCTCCCTCGCCGGCCCCCACAGGTGCGCCTGGAACGGATCCGCCAGGCAGAGAGTCTGGAGCAAGTGCGCAGCATCATGGACGAGGCGCCCCTCAGGGACGTCGGGGACATCAAGGACACCTGAGGGGCCAGCACCGCCCACCCTGGGGGGAGACCGTCTTTCTCCACTCCTGAACCGTGAGGCCGAGGCTTTGGGGGTCTCAGGATGGAGTCTTCACCCTCTCCAAGCCTGGGGTTGAGGTGACGGGGCCACCGCTGCCCTGTCCCTCCAGCGCCTCCTCCCAGGGGCGGCTGGGTCTTCTGCTTCCAAAGATGACACCTGGGTGAGGGTCCCAACCCCCTCTGGAAACCAGAGGGGCAGGCTCAGCTCTGTGGCTTTCTGGCTGCCATGCTGCCTCCTGGGCTCCAAGCCTCTCGCCCCCGCCCCCACCCAGCCTAACAGCCATGCCTGTTACCTCCGTCCCCTTCCCCAGGCACAGCCGAGCTGTGAGTGGTGGCTGGGAGCCCTGGGTCGTGTCCCCGGGTCCCTCCACACACGCGCCCTGGGACAGGTGGCTGCTTCCTGGACTGCATGACACTAAGATGCTTGTCCCCAGGGGCCCGAACCAGGCCCCAAGGTGTGCACAGAGAGAAGGCCAGGTTTTTCTGTCATTTATTTTCAATAAATAAGCAGCTCAGCTCAGTCGGTCGCCTTGTCCCTGCAAGCCCCACGGGGTCGGGGAGGGGTTGTTTTACAAGGGCAAAAGGGGGGGGCGGTTGCTGAGGGGGGAGGAGACGTGAAGGGGACATTATGTTTATAAACAAGAATGTTGGGCTGGGGGGCACGTGGTGGAGGCCTGTGCCACAGCTCTGGCTGAAGACACGTCACTGTCAGGGTGGGGAAGGGAGGGCAAAAGGACTGGTTACTTCCTTCTTTCATCTTCTGGATCTGGAAGGAAAAGGGGGGAGGATGAGACTGGTGGCAGGGCGGCACAGGAGAGGAGAAGTCCCTCTCAGCTCCCTACCTGTCCCAGTCCCCCAGCACACTCACCTGGAGGCCCCCCGCCACCCCCCACTCAACTGTGTCCCCAGCCCCCACTCCCCCCAGCCACTGCAGCCCCAGCGGCACACGGCTCAGCGGCCAGCCAGCGCGACACGGCGCAGCCCAGCAGACAGCGGTGCCCGGGGCGGGCAGTGCCGCCCCCGCAGAGTAGGGGCAGCAGCCCAGCCCCACTTGGAAGCGCGGCAGTGGCGGCGGCGGTGGCGGTGGCTCCAGGTGGAGCTGTGAGGGCACGTGACCCCGGCGCCGCCTGAGGGGGAGAGGGGGTGGGCAGAGGGGGCACAGCAGCTAGGGCACGGGCAAGAAGGGGGGTGATACCTGTGACACGGCTCAGAGAGATGGAGGAGGGGGAAACGGGTTATCCTATGGCCAGAGAGGACAGAGAGACAGCCGTTATCGAGGGAGGGAGGGGGGCGCAGGGGACCAAGAGGGCTGAGGAGGCTTTGGGGCTCCAAGGAGACGGGCTCAAAGGCGGGGCAGGGGCTGGGTGCGCCCCTCGGCGGAGGACACGGGGCCTGCTGGGGCTCCAGGAATTCACCCACCTGACAAGGAAGCGGGGCAGGCGCCTTCACGGCCTGGAGGGAGGGGGCTGTGTCAGGGCCCAGGGGCTGACAGGGCTGGGGGCGGCGCGCTCTTACCCTCCAGGTAGTTCCGAGCAATGAACTTGAGGATTTCGTCGAGCCCGATGACTGGTAACGAGATCTTGAAGACCATGAGCCAATGGGGCAGGTCCAGGGCCTGCAGCTTGAAGATCATCTGGGAGGAGGCGGGAAGGGCAGTGAGAAGGAGCCCAGGAGCTGCCACTGTGCCAGCCTGACCCTGCCCTCCTCCCTCTGGCAGGGGTCGTGGTCGCGGACCCCTGCAGAGGCGCCCTGTGGGTGGGGGGGGGGGGCAGGCAGCCCCTGGCCAGAAGAAGGCTCACCGGCAGAGGGTCCACGTAGAGGATGAGGAAGTGGAGGGACATGGAGAGGCAGATGGAGCCCACCAGCCAGATGTTCACCCAGGGCGGCATCCGCAGGAGGGACTGGTTCTCAGACAGGCTGCAAGGGGGCGGCCGGGCGGAGCCAGGGGTGGAGGCACAAGGGGAGAGAAGCGGTAAGCAGGGGGAGGGTGGCTTCCAGAGGGCCGCAGAGGGAGGGAGCACGGACCCCACCTGTTGAGAGCATTGCACATCTCGATGGTAACCAGCACGGACAAGGCCATGGTCATGGGCTCGGGGGCCTCAAAGACCTCGCAATCCACACCCTCAAAGTCAGGGTTGTGCTCCGCACACTTCATGTAGTGAGTCTGCAGGAGGAGAGGGGAGAAGCCGGGGTTCCGAAAAAGCCTCCACGCCACCCTCCTGCTCCCCTCGCCTCCTCCCACCTCCCTCCGTGCTGCCCTACCAGCTGCCTGTAGGTGACGTGAGGCCCGTCCTCAGCGTATAGGAACCACCAGGCTGCTGCTCCCACCGTGGCTGCACCCACGTAGCCTGTGGTGGAGAGAAGATGAGAGCTGGGGGCCTAGGGCTGGGGAGACGGGAGGAGCTGAGAGGGCCTCCTGGCCGTGAACAGTGGCTGGAGGAAGAGGGCCCACCGCAGTGGCTGCTGTGGGGAAGCTGGTGTCCCAGAGAGGGGATCAGCCCTGAGGGTCGGGAAGGGGTGTGGGGTCTCATCCTGCTCACCCCCAATTGCCATGTAGCGGAAGAAGAGCCAGCCACTGATGAGTGGCTCCTTGGGGCTCCGGGGGGGCCGGTCCATGATGTCCAGGTCTGGGGGGTTGAAGCCCAGGGCTGTGGCTGGGAGCCCGTCTGTCACCAGGTTCACCCACAGCAGCTGCACGGGGATCAGGGCCTCAGGCAGCCCCAGGGCAGCTGTCAGGAAGATGCTGCCAGAAGGAGGAGGTCACACGTCTGTCTTGCCTCCCAGGCCTGTGGTCACCCCCAGCGGCCCCGAGTTCCTCCTCGATGCCCTCCCCGGCTGCTCACCAGACCACCTCTCCCACGTTGGAGGAGATGAGGTAGCGGATGAACTGCTTCATGTTGTTATAGATGGCGCGGCCCTCCTCCACGGCAGCCACGATGGTGGAGAAGTTGTCGTCGGCCAGTACCATCTCGGAGGCCGACTTGGCCACGGCGGTGCCGGATCCCATGGCAATGCCGATCTCCGCCTTCTTCAGGGCAGGGGCGTCATTGACGCCATCACCTGTCTGTGGGGAGGGAGAGAAGGTGGGCACCAGCCCCTTCCTCGTACCCTCCTTGAGACTCTTCCATCGGGGCCCGAATCCCTCCCCTCCGTGCATCTCGCCAGGGCCCCTGCTCAGGCCCGTCCTCCCTCAGTCCCCAGCTCCCCAAGACGGTCATCTCAATAGACACTAAGCAGACCGCCGCACGCCAGTCTTCTCACCATCGCTGTGATCTCATCGTAGGACTGCAGATACTCCACGATCTTCGACTTGTGCGAGGGCTCCACGCGGGCAAAGCAGCAGGCGCGTTTGCAGGCCTCCCGCTGCGTGGTCAGGGGCAGGTCATCAAACTCCCGGCCAGTGTAGGCTCGGTCAGCCACATCCTCGTTCTCCTCGAAGATGCCAATTCGTCGGCAGATGGCAATGGCTGTGCCCTTGTTGTCCCCAGTGATCATGATCACTCGGATGCCAGCGTCACGGCACAGGGCGATGGAGTCTGTGACCTCCTTGCGGGGCGGGTCCAGCATGCCCACCACGCCAACAAACGTCAGGTCCGTCTGGGCAGACAGAGAAGAGAGCGACAGGATCGAGGAGGAAGCCTGGGGGGAGCTGAGGGGAGAGCTGTCCCTGGGCCTGGTGTTTAAACCTCGTGGGGCCTCAAAGCTCAGGGCTGGGAAATGTTCACATGTGTGTCTGCAGGCCTGGCGGTGCCGGGCCCATTGTAGGTGGCAGAGCGTGTCTTTCATAGAAAGAACTCGAACTGGAAGTGAGGGAGGTGGTTTCTGCTTTCAGCAGGGCTGCTCACTTGGTCTACAACTTGGAGCAAATCTGTGTTACCTGCCAGGCCACACTGTTCCCTCTATAAAATGGAGTGGGCTTTGGTGCTGTTCAGAGAGCAGGTCCACTACGAGATAAAGAGCTAGTGTCAGAATGGAGGTTGATGCACGTCCTTAGAAAACCTCACGGTGGAAAACACATCAGCTAAACCCGAGTGGACCTGGCTGGCCTCTGTTCTGGAGCAAGCACCTCACCTCATCTCAGATGGGTCCATGGACCACACGCCAAGTAGCCCTGGACTGGATTATTCCTAAGGTTCTCTCAAACTCTAACGTCCTGTGATTCTAGGCCCCGTGACGAAGTAGGAAATGACAAGGGTGGCGGAAGGGGTGAGGCAGGTGACTCTGGGAAAACGGGATGCCTCCGTCTGCTCACCTCGTACTCCGCGAACCTGGAAGAGTCATCCAGGACCATCTCCTCTCGCTTTGGGGGCGTGTCCCGGGTGGCCAGGGCTAGGCAGCGCAGGGTATCCCGGCCAGTGCCCCACTCCTTGATTACCGACAGAATCGCCTCCTTCACCGGCCCTGTCATGGGCACCCGAGTGGTGCCGACTCGCACGTAGTTACAGCGATCGATGACCCCCTCTGGGGCACCCTAGGAGAACAGAACAGTATTCAGAGACTACTGTTCCTTCCAGTGCATGGTGAGCGAGGCAGGGAGAAGAGAGGAGGGTTCAGGACTGGGAAGAAGCGGGGCTGAGGCGCACTCGGATTCCTGACCTTGACAAACATTTTGTTGCCCACAGCAGCCCGGGATTTTGCTGGAGAGCAATAGACAGACATGGACTTTCTGTCCCGGGAGAACTCCAGGGTGAATTCCTTCTTCATTAGCTGGCGGATCACCTGAGAGAGAGGAGACAGGGAGGGAGAGGCCAGATATGAGACCAGTGGAGAAAGAGTGATGATGCTATGCTAGAAGGGAAGAGTCCCAGACCCTTTAAAACATAGTCGAAAAGGATCTGGAGGTCAGAGCAGACCCCAAGCTGAGTCTGAGATAAAGCTAAGTCTGCTGCCTACAGCAGAAATGGAGAGAATTCCAAGGCTAGCGCTGCCACTGTCTTACTATGTTCAGGTTAAAGCACAATAGAAACAGGATGGCGTAGTGTGGCACTGCCCGATAGAACCTTCCGTGATGACGGGAATGTTTAATAATCCGGATGGTTCAAGACGGTGCAATCGAACAACGGCTACTGAGCCTGGGGAATGTGATTAGTGCAGCTGAAGAACTGAGTTTCTACTTTTATGTAATCATTTAAATGTAGACAACCACATGTGTGAGTCTACAGACGTATGTTGCTAGACAATGGCACGTAGTACTAAGCACTCCATAAAAGTGAGTGTGCCAAATGCATTCTAGATGTTTCTCCACAAAACAAAAATAAAAACAACAAATAAAATTAAAAATAATTTGATGTTTTTATTATCATTTGTAAATTTTTTAAATGAATCCTGTATTGATAAATACTTAGGTTGTTTGCATTATTTTTGTCATGTTAAATAAAGCAGCCATGAGCATCTTGCCTATATGAAAAAAAAAGGAATGAGCGGTGTGGGGAGTATAATATAACACCCCAGAGGAATTCAATGTGGACATTCAGTAAATATTAATAGCAAGGACCTGGAGTGATAGTCACAGAATTGGGCTTGTTCACCTGGACACGGGGAAGCAGAGGCATATGAGGCAGTCATATTTCCCAAATCCTAAATCAGGCATTGTGAACTGATAAAAACAAGTGTGTTTCTAGAGACAATGGGGAATAGTTGAAATTGGGGCTGTCCCAGGATGGGTCACTTGTGGTTTCTGTGTCCAGCTCTGTCCCTTTCAACTAGGGACACGACAGGAAAAGTGATCTTAAATTCTTCAAGGGATGCTGCAACCGGGCACCAGGAAGAGCAGTGTAAGTGCAGGTGCAGTAGGTCCTACCCCAAGTCAGCCTTGCCAAGGAAAGCTGTGGAGAGGCTCTCTGCCTGTGCCGGCTGGGTCCCAGCATGGGGCACAAGGCCCTGACCAGCCTGACCTGGGTGGGGGTGGGGGGCCCTGTCTCCTGAGGTTCCTTAGGTCCTGGCCTGTACAGTGTGGGCTGGAGAAGGACCGTGGGAGGCAGTGCCTAGACTCACCAAGTTGCAGGCGTTGGCCCTCTCCACCTTTGAGAGGTTTCTCAGTTCAGTGTTGAATACATTCATCTTCTCCACCAGGGTGGTGAGTGCAGTCTCGGTGGCCTCGCCCACCTTCTCATAAGCACCTTTGGCCTGAGAGGGCAGAGGAGGAAGAGGAAGTAGGTGCGCTGGGCTCCCAGCCCCGTGCTCCCATCTATCATGCCCACCTTCCACCTAGAACAGGAAGGGAGCAAGCCACTCTCTTCCCCTTACACCCAGGAGAGGGCTTGGTACAAGGGACCCCTGAGCCCTTCCTTGCGGCCTGTCGAGGAGGCCTGGACTCTGAGCCAGCTGGAGGGGGAAGGAGGGGTGGCTTCAGGAGTGGAGAGGTTACCTCATTGAAGTCCAAGGAGGAGTCATTGCAGAGGGCACAAATGGTGGCTAGCTCCACCAGCCCATCATACTGCCCTGTCCGGACTGGCTTATCATTCTTCAAGCTGGTGGCCGGGTGGGGAGGAAGGAAGGGAAAGAGACAGGTAGAGAAGATAGGGAATGAGATGCAGAGAGAGCACAGGGAATGCAGCAAGGAGATGGCAACCAACTTGGAGATCAGGTGGGAGAGAGAATAAGGTTGGGGAAGGAACAAGAGAGAAACAGGAAGACAAAACTAGAGGGAGGCCCCAGGGAGAGAGGATATGTGTGTGTGTGTGTGTGTGTGTGTGTGTGTGTGTGTGTGTGTGTGTGTGGTGGGGAGGGGCACGAGGAACTGGGAACACGACTTTGGGGGAACTTACACCTCTCCTTCTGGAGCATAAGTGGAGCCAGTGATAGAGAACTTGTTCAGAAGGCAGATGTCCCCATCCACCTTTTCGATGATGAACATCTGCAGAGGAGAAGGGCATGCACACAGATGTTTAACTCTCCCCATCCCCGAAGGCAGTCTGCACCGAGGGGGCCCGTGCCCCAAGTGTCCCTCTACCCGGCCATCTGCTAGGACTTACCCAACTTCCCACCATCATCCCCTGATTCGTCCTTCCCTTTTCCTCCCTTTTCCTCCCCTCTCACACCACTCCCTTGCAAATCATTCTCTATGTTCTGTGTTCATGGCCTTAAAACAAAAGGCCATGCTGGAGGTTCTTCCAGATCAATTAGTAAAATAAGACATGCATCACAAGGTGTGGTGGCCACCAGTCTACCTGTCAGTACATGGCCCATCTACAGCTCCAGCCTCTTGTGGCCAGATCTTCCAGTTTTGCAGGAAGAATTAGAAATTCAGGTTATTTTCCTATGATATCCCTTGACTTTTCAAATGTGGGCTATTAATTCATTTTTATGAAACATGACAGAAGACCAGTGGTCTGGCTTTGAAGCCTGTGCTTTGGAGGGATGTAGATCACACAGAGCAGAGGGGAGCAGCCCACTCTGAGCCAGAGCACACGTGGAAGGGATGGGGCTTAAGATGTGCTCCAGGATAAAATGGTTCTGTGGCCAGGTAAGTTTGGCAAACTCGTTTAAACTGAGCGAAATCCACCCTCTCTATGGTCAGCCTTCTCCGAGGCTTTCAAATGCCAACAGGCATGTGGTACAGCCTTTCTCAGCCTGGTCTGACCACACAACCCTTGATCCTTAGGACACCAATTTCTATTTCACAAACATGCTATTCCAGAGAACTCTGTTTAGGTTAGGGGTTCTTTGCCTGGGGTCCATGGATGACACCCCGGACCAAGGGTGTCTGTGAACTTTGATGGCGAAACAAAAATTACATCTTTTATTTTCTCTCTGACATTTAGCATTTCCATCCAATTATGAATGGGGGCAATGGACCACATTAATATTTGCAAAACCTGTGACTTGGCCACCAATATAATCACAAATACTCTCTTGTCACATTGTATTGTTGCAGGGCTCTCAAAATAGCATTTACGCTCATCACTGCTTCAGCGTTATGGCAATTATGAGACCCCCTGCTGGACTTGCTACTTAATACATTAATAAAGAAGCATACGTTTTACCAAATCACAAATCTGTGGGGTTTTTTTAACATCTTTATTGGAGTATAATTGCTTTACAATGTTGTGCTAGTTTCTGCTGTATAACAAAGTGAATCAGCTATACATACAAATCTGTTTTTAAAATATTTTGACTACTGTATTTCAATCATTGGCTTCCTCTGTAATCCAATGTATTTTTTTTAATAGAGACACTCAATTTATTTATTTTTTAAATGCATAGTTTTTAAAATTTATTTATTTTATTATCTATTTTTATTTTTTTTGGTTGCGTTGGGTCTTCATTGCCGTGCTCGGGCTTCTCTCTAGTTGCGGAGAGCGGGGTCTACTCTTCGTTGTGGTGCGTGGGCTTCTCATTGCGGTGGCTTCTCTTGTTGAGGAGCACGGGCTCTAGGGGCGTGGGCTTCAGTAGTTGCGGCACGTGCGCTCAGTAGTTGTGGTTCGTGGGCTCTAGAGCGCAGACTCAGTAGTTGTGGCACACTGGCTTAGCTGCTCAGCGGCATGTGGGATCTTCCCGGACCAGGGCTTGAACCCATGTCCCCTGCATTGGCAGGCGGATTCTTAACCACTGCGCCACCAGGGAAGCCCAGTCCAAAGTATTTTATTTAATTTATGTTTTTGGCCGCGCTGTGTGGCTAGCAGGATCTTAGTTCCCTGACCAGGGATCGAACCCGGGCTCACGGCAGTGAAAGCACCAAGTCCTAACCACTGGACCACCAGGGAATTCCCAATCCGATGTATTTTAGAAACAGAATCCTGTGCGTTTTATTTTATACATTGAAAATATTAAATGTAGAGATCCAGACTGCCAAAGAGTCCAAGGCGGGACTTCCCTGGTGGCGCAGTGGTTAAGAATCTGCCTGCCAATGCAGGGGACATGGATTACCGCCCTGGCCTGGGAAGATCCCACATGCCGCAGAGCAACTAAGCCCATGCGCCACAACTACTGAGCCTGCGCTCTAGAGCCCACGAGCCACAACTACTGAGCCTGCGTGCCACAACTACTGAAGCCCGTGAGCCTAGAGCCCGTGCTCCACAACAAGAGAAGCCACTGCAACGAGAAGCCCACGCACCGCAAGGAAGAGTAGCCCCCGCTCTCCACAACTAGAGAAAGCCCACGCGCAGCAATGAAGACCCAATGCAACCAAAAATAAATAAACAAATAAATAAATTTATACATATAAAAAAAAGAGTCCAAGGCACGGAAAAGATCAAGGGCCCTGGTTCAGGAAATGCTGTTCAAGATTCGTGTGGCTGGGCTTCCCGGGCCCTGTCATGGATGACCACTCTGGAGGGTAGCCTGGTGCACAGGCAGGCACTCTAGGGCCAGACAGACTTGGGTTTGAAACTCACTTCTGCTCCTTATTAACTTGTGTGTGTGTGTGTGTGTGTGTGTGTGTGTGTGTGTGTGTGTGTGTGTGGTGGGGAGGGGCACGAGGAACTGGGAACACGACTTTGGGGGAACTTACACCTCTCCTTCTGGAGCATAAGTGGAGCCAGTGATAGAGAACTTGTTCAGAAGGCAGATGTCCCCATCCACCTTTTCGATGATGAACATCTGCAGAGGAGAAGGGCATGCACACAGATGTTTAACTCTCCCCATCCCCGAAGGCAGTCTGCACCGAGGGGGCCCGTGCCCCAAGTGTCCCTCTACCCGGCCATCTGCTAGGACTTACCCAACTTCCCACCATCATCCCCTGATTCGTCCTTCCCTTTTCCTCCCTTTTCCTCCCCTCTCACACCACTCCCTTGCAAATCATTCTCTATGTTCTGTGTTCATGGCCTTAAAACAAAAGGCCATGCTGGAGGTTCTTCCAGATCAATTAGTAAAATAAGACATGCATCACAAGGTGTGGTGGCCACCAGTCTACCTGTCAGTACATGGCCCATCTACAGCTCCAGCCTCTTGTGGCCAGATCTTCCAGTTTTGCAGGAAGAATTAGAAATTCAGGTTATTTTCCTATGATATCCCTTGACTTTTCAAATGTGGGCTATTAATTCATTTTTATGAAACATGACAGAAGACCAGTGGTCTGGCTTTGAAGCCTGTGCTTTGGAGGGATGTAGATCACACAGAGCAGAGGGGAGCAGCCCACTCTGAGCCAGAGCACACGTGGAAGGGATGGGGCTTAAGATGTGCTCCAGGATAAAATGGTTCTGTGGCCAGGTAAGTTTGGCAAACTCGTTTAAACTGAGCGAAATCCACCCTCTCTATGGTCAGCCTTCTCCGAGGCTTTCAAATGCCAACAGGCATGTGGTACAGCCTTTCTCAGCCTGGTCTGACCACACAACCCTTGATCCTTAGGACACCAATTTCTATTTCACAAACATGCTATTCCAGAGAACTCTGTTTAGGTTAGGGGTTCTTTGCCTGGGGTCCATGGATGACACCCCGGACCAAGGGTGTCTGTGAACTTTGATGGCGAAACAAAAATTACATCTTTTATTTTCTCTCTGACATTTAGCATTTCCATCCAATTATGAATGGGGGCAATGGACCACATTAATATTTGCAAAACCTGTGACTTGGCCACCAATATAATCACAAATACTCTCTTGTCACATTGTATTGTTGCAGGGCTCTCAAAATAGCATTTACGCTCATCACTGCTTCAGCGTTATGGCAATTATGAGACCCCCTGCTGGACTTGCTACTTAATACATTAATAAAGAAGCATACGTTTTACCAAATCACAAATCTGTGGGGTTTTTTTAACATCTTTATTGGAGTATAATTGCTTTACAATGTTGTGCTAGTTTCTGCTGTATAACAAAGTGAATCAGCTATACGTACAAATCTGTTTTTAAAATATTTTGACTACTGTATTTCAATCATTGGCTTCCTCTGTAATCCAATGTATTTTTTTTAATAGAGACACTCAATTTATTTATTTTTTAAATGCATAGTTTTTAAAATTTATTTATTTTATTATCTATTTTTATTTTTTTTGGTTGCGTTGGGTCTTCATTGCCGTGCTCGGGCTTCTCTCTAGTTGCGGAGAGCGGGGTCTACTCTTCGTTGTGGTGCGTGGGCTTCTCATTGCGGTGGCTTCTCTTGTTGAGGAGCACGGGCTCTAGGGGCGTGGGCTTCAGTAGTTGCGGCACGTGCGCTCAGTAGTTGTGGTTCGTGGGCTCTAGAGCGCAGACTCAGTAGTTGTGGCACACTGGCTTAGCTGCTCAGCGGCATGTGGGATCTTCCCGGACCAGGGCTTGAACCCATGTCCCCTGCATTGGCAGGCGGATTCTTAACCACTGCGCCACCAGGGAAGCCCAGTCCAAAGTATTTTATTTAATTTATGTTTTTGGCCGCGCTGTGTGGCTAGCAGGATCTTAGTTCCCTGACCAGGGATCGAACCCGGGCTCACGGCAGTGAAAGCACCAAGTCCTAACCACTGGACCACCAGGGAATTCCCAATCCGATGTATTTTAGAAACAGAATCCTGTGCGTTTTATTTTATACATTGAAAATATTAAATGTAGAGATCCAGACTGCCAAAGAGTCCAAGGCGGGACTTCCCTGGTGGCGCAGTGGTTAAGAATCTGCCTGCCAATGCAGGGGACATGGATTACCGCCCTGGCCTGGGAAGATCCCACATGCCGCAGAGCAACTAAGCCCATGCGCCACAACTACTGAGCCTGCGCTCTAGAGCCCACGAGCCACAACTACTGAGCCTGCGTGCCACAACTACTGAAGCCCGTGAGCCTAGAGCCCGTGCTCCACAACAAGAGAAGCCACTGCAACGAGAAGCCCACGCACCGCAAGGAAGAGTAGCCCCCGCTCTCCACAACTAGAGAAAGCCCACGCGCAGCAATGAAGACCCAATGCAACCAAAAATAAATAAACAAATAAATAAATTTATATATATAAAAAAAAGAGTCCAAGGCACGGAAAAGATCAAGGGCCCTGGTTCAGGAAATGCTGTTCAAGATTCGTGTGGCTGGGCTTCCCGGGCCCTGTCATGGATGACCACTCTGGAGGGTAGCCTGGTGCACAGGCAGGCACTCTAGGGCCAGACAGACTTGGGTTTGAAACTCACTTCTGCTCCTTATTAACTGTGCACTGAATCTCCTAGAGCCTCAGTTCCCTCTTTGGGAAAACTGGGTAAACAAGACCTTCCCCTGAAGGGCTGCTGTGGGGGATTAGAGATAACACAGGGCAGCATCTAGCACACGGACGGAGGCTGCAGGGAGCTGCCTCCCTGGGCCAGGGGGGCTTCTTTGCTCCCTCTCATAGCTGGCAGCATGGCACTCTCTGTGTCATCTAAGCATTTCTTTCTCAGGCCAAAATGAAAAGCTACCCATGATGAAGGGGTAACCACAACTTTGGAGGGCTCATTTCACCTCCCATGTAAGTGGGAGGTGCCACCCTTCCCTGACCTTGCAGACAGACATCTGGTTCGTGGTGAGGGTGCCTGTCTTGTCGGAACAGATGACAGAGGTGCAGCCCAGCGTCTCCACGGAGGGCAAGCTCCTCACAATTGCGTTCTTCTTTGCCATCCGGCGGGTGCCCAGGGCCAGGCAGGTGGTGATGACTGCAGGAAGGCCTGTGGCGAGGAAGGAGAGGGGGTGAGGGAACGATACTGGGGGAGGGAGGGAGAGACCTAGTGGGGTAGGCTGAAGAGCAGCTCCCAAAGATATCGGGTCCCAATCCCTGGAACTCGTAAATGTTACCTTATTTGGATAAAGGATCTCTGCAGATGAGATTAGCAAATGGGAGGAAAAAGAGAGGTTGCCCTACCTTCTGGGATTGCAGCCACAGCAAGGGCCACGGCAATCTTAAAGTAGTAGATGGCACCGCGGATCCAGGAGCCCCCATGGATGGGATCGTTGAAGTGGCCAATGTTGATGAGCCACACGGCCACACAGATGATGGAGATGACCTTGGAGAGCTGCTCCCCAAACTCATCCAGCTTCTGCTGCAGAGGGGTCTTGTCCTGCTCTGTCGCGGCCATTTGGTCACGGATCTTCCCAATCTCAGTGTTCACGCCAGTAGAGGCCACGATGCCTATGGCCTTACCGGCTGCAATGTTGGTGCCCTTGGAGGGGGAAGAAGAGGCAGGGAGTCAGGTGACGCCCCTCGTGCAGCATCCCCCCAGCTGTGGGTCTCATCTCTTCCCACACCGCCATGTCTCTCCCAGACCAGGGCCCCCGGCTTGAGCACACGACAGCTGGCCCTGGAAGCCTCACCGAGAAGAGCATGTTCTTCTTATCCTGGTTGACAGCTCGGGGGTCGGGAACAGGTTCTGTGTGCTTGATGACAGAGACAGACTCGCCTGTGGAGAAGGGGCAGAGGGGTTTTCAGATGACATCATGTCGTTCTCCCATACATCCCCCCCCAACTCTCTGCTTGGCGGGACAGGGCCTGGTAAGGACCAAGCAACAATCCTGGAGGAAGTCTGGACTCTGGAGGAAGGCCCTGGAGGCAGATGGGAAACCCACTGCCCTTAGAGTGAAAAGACCTTGACCCCAGTCCCAGCCTGACCGCTCACAAGCAGCATGGCTTTGGATCACTTAGCCTTGGTTTGCTCTTCTGTAAAATGGGGACAAGGATGTGTACACTTCAGAGCAAGGTCTTGGTGAAAGTCAAACAAGCTGACGTATGTGGAAGTGTGCAGTCAACTGGAGAGCACGTTCCTGGGAGGGAGAGGCCCCCACCCTTGGGACCTTGCCTCCTTCACCTGAATGGCAGGAGCTCAGGCAATCACCCTGGGCCAGCCCACCCTGCCTCCTTGGACCATAGAGCATGCTCACTGGCTCTTCACCCTCTCTCTCCCAGGACAAAAGGAGAAGCAGCTGAGGTTTTAAGTGTATCTGAACCCTGTATCCTATCCCAGAATCTCTGCTTCCTCAGTTGGGGGCTTCTGAGGAGGCAGGATAGTTCTCTGGGTGAGCATGTCCGTATGTCCGTGTGGAAGGAACGGGTTGATGGCCATCTGGAAATGGGGACAAACATCCCACCATTTCCCATGACCCCTTGTGTTCCAGGCTTAGGCAGTGGGCAAAGCTGAGCAGGGTTGATGTCGCTGCCACTACGGGGCCAGGAGGGGGCCCTACTGCTGAGGGTCCCCTTTCATCCCTGTCTGTCCACTCAGCTCTTCCCTCATCAAATCCTCATCCCCCTCCCCTTTGATGCATCCCCTGACCCTGGCCAGCAGACCTGTCAGGATGGACTGGTCGACCCGGAGGGTGGTGGACTTGATGGTGAGGATTCGGATATCTGCAGGGACTTTGTCCCCCACTGTGGAGAGACGAGAGGAGAGTGAAGTCAGTTGAGATGGGAGTTTTCTTTCTTCCTAAGAAAAACCCAGTCTTTGATGATCTCACCTCATCCTTCAGGTCTCAGGGAGGTCACCCGGGTTGCGCTCCGGTCACCCAAGCAAGCATCTCCCTCTAACACTCACTCCAATTGTCCCCCCTGCTGAATGTTTTTCTCCCTACCAGGCTGTGAGCCTGGCGAGGGGAGGTCTGGGCACACAGTATGTGCTCAATAAATGTACCCTGAATGACACAGGGAAAATCAGGGACAATCCTGTCATCCAACGAGAAACTAAAACTGAGGCCGGGAGAGAGCAAAACAGAGAGGGAAACACGAGGGAGAAAGGTGAGGAGGGACAGGCAAGAAAAGAACTAGAGAAAATAGGGTAAGTCTCACAGACCTGCGTCCATGGCGGAGAACAAAGTGGAACAGCCGGAGAAGGCAGCAAGAAACAGGAGGAAAATATGGGAATTGAGAAAATCAATGTCAACCCAGACAAAATGTGGAGTGAGAAGCAGGAGAGGGAAGTGTGAGAAGGACAGACGCAGGCGGAGAGGGCGGAGCAGTGGAGGCAGAGGGTGCAGGCCTGGCAGGTCCACACGGCGTGGCTGGGACGCACAGCAGAAGCCTGCCGGGCCCTGGTCTGAGTATCTGGGGAAGGCAGGAAGCCACGGTGAGCGAGCTGGGGAGACGGCAGCAGAGAAGGGGAGTCTGCAGGAAACAAGGCTCTGGGGGGGGGGGGGGGGGGGGAAGCCATACACAGCAGAGAGCTGAGAAAACAGGGGGGGGGAGGGCAAGGGATGTGCACAGAAGGAGGGGGTCCACAAAGGAAACTTGCTGGGGAACACGGCAGATGCCCCACCAGACTTCGAGGCCTCCGAGGAAGCCAACTGCCTCCCAGCCTCATCCCGCCTGGTCCCAAGGATGGTCCTGGGGGTGGGGTTTGACTGCTTTCCTTTCCCTGTCCCCAAGGTTCCTCCTCCGGTGCCAGAGGAAGCTGATGGAGGAGGGGGGAGGTTGGCAATGGAGTTGGGCGGGACACCCTGTCACCCAAACTGAAGCGATATTTATAGACATTCATGGCGCTGACTCCAAACTGTCACCGTGGCAGGACGGCCCTGTGATGGGGCACCGGAGTCTTCAGCCCACCCGCCCTCCCTGTCACCAAGCTTCCCAGCGTGGGGACTTGGGTATCTGGTGGAGGGAAGTAGGCCTAGAAAGACACGTCTTCCTATGCCAGGGGCCTGGAGCCGTGGGAAGGCCTGCACAGGGCAAATATAAAAACCGCTGAAGGGGGCAGAATTCCAGTAATCTTAGCCTCCCGGCCCCCACCCCTCCCTGGCCAGGCATTAAGTGTCCCTCACCGGAGAGGCGGGGCCCTCCTTGAGCTCCCCTCCTCCCAGTCCCGTGCTCTCTGCTGGGGCCTGAGTTTCCCTTACATGGTTGGGGGCTTGAGCCTCCGGCCCCCCTCCTCCCTTCTACCCTTGCTCCTTCCCCTTTGAGAAGCCTCAAGGGTACCGAGAGGTCAACATTTAAAGCTGACCAAGCTTGGGGGTGGGTGGAAGGAGAGGGAAGCCAGGCCTCAGGAGGGGGGTGGAGACAGGGCCATTGGCAGGGACTGGGTTCCACCTGTTACTTGCAAGTGCTGGGTGAGAGGAGGGGGAGCAGGGGTCTGCCTGCAGCGTCAGGGACAGGACTGGCTGTTCCTGCTGAGACTCTGATGGAGAGGGGGTGCTGTGGCCACAGTGCCCTGGGGTGACCTCCTGAGGAGTCTGGGAAGGAGAAGCAGAGACTCCACCATCCTGGCTACCTCCTGGACAGTGGGGATCAGGGCCCGACCAGCCCCCAACATGCACATCTTCTTGGCCTCGAACCCATCCTGGACCACTCGTCCCCATCACTCACCAGCCACCTCCACGATGTCTCCGGGGACAATGTCCCGAGCCTTGATCCTTTGCACTGCCTTGCGGTCAGCCCGGTAGACCTTCCCCATCTCCGGTTCATATTCCTTCAGAGCCTCAATGGCATTCTCTGCATTCCTTTCCTGGGGCGACAGGGTTGAGGAGGGGAGGGTCAGCAGAGGGAGGAAGGTTGTGGAATGACAGAGGACTGGTCAGGGAGGATGGGGAGGTGTAGGGATGCAGGAGCAGGGGCCAGAGTCCCGGGGGAAGTAGGGGCATCACAGAGAAGGAGGCAGGTTATGCAGTCCTGGCTCCTGGCCCAGGGGAGCAGACAAACCCCACATGATGGTTAAGGAAACCATCACCCACAGCTGAGAACAGGTAAGGGGGTTTCGGGGAGAGAAGGAAGGAGAATCAAAGAAAACCAGAAAGCAGGGGACAGGAGAAGCAGAGGATGGTATAAGGTAAGAGAAAGAAGGACATCAAACTAGCATTTCCTGAGATCCTCCTTTATGCCAGACACAGGGCTGGGCACTTTCACACTCATCGTCTTGTTAAATTTCACCACAACTCTGAGGGATAGGATTATGAGCCCCATTTTATGGATGAGGAAACTGAGACTCAGAGAGATGAAGGAACCTGCCCTGGGTTGTACAACCAGCCAGTGACAGGGGGAACACCAGTCTCCTGCCTCTTCCAACATTCTGGTCCTTTTGCCCAATTCAGAACAAGGCAAGCCCAGGGTAAGTGATGGAGGAGAAGGAGACAGGGAGGGAGGCTGGCCTCATGTCCAGTGTCAGGATGTGAAGGAATGAGGCGGGGTCAAAGCTAACCTGCCAAACCCCCACGATGGCATTGGCAATGAGGATCAAGAGGATGACAAAGGGTTCAACAAAGGCGGTGATGGTCTCTTCGCCTTCCTCGAACCAGGCCAGCACCTGGGGAGCAAGGGAAGGGAGAATAACAGGTTCTAAAGCCCCTCAAGTGAGGAAGGAGAGGAAATGGAGGTGAGAACACGTGCAGGAGCAAACGGGGCAGGGCACCACAGGGGCACTGCAGCCCCACATCCCTTTAAGGGTCTACGTGCTCCACAGCTCGAACTCACATAAGCGTGGCCACTACTGTTATTCAGCGGGTGCAGGCCGGCACAGACATGCGCAGCTAGGGGATTAACTGGGAATGCTTTCAGGTTTCCCTGACCGAGTTACTGGCTTGTAAACGAAGCTCAGGGGACACCCAGGCCAACTACCCCCGCAGCCACATCCATCCCCCGGGAGCCAAAACTCAGTAGGAAAAACCCTGTGGTCCTCACAGGCGCCCGGCCCACGCACGGCCCTCCCCCAACAGCCCAAGGCAGGGGAGCTCCAATTTCATGAGGGAGCAGGAGTGAGGGATAGTGTTACGGGGCCTCCTGTGCACACCCCACCCCAGCTGTTGCCTCTGCCAGGCAACAGCCTCAGGCAAATGTCAAGGAGCAAATCTGAGGAGGGAGAAGTGAGGCCCTGCCAGCTACACTCAGGGGCCCAGGGGCCTCCACTAAAGACACCAGCGGACAGGGAGACTTCTTTGCCTCCAGAGTCTTGTCTTCCAGGACCATTAAGATGTTAAGGAAGAAACTCCAAAACGCAGACCGGCCTGCTAGGATGGTGGGTGCGGAGGGGAGCTCTAGGGCAGGAGAGGTGGCAGGGCCTTGAGACCCGGCGTGGGGCAGCCCTGAGGCTGTGAGGAGGAAGGGGAGGGTCAGGCCAGGTAGGTGACGAGGGGGATCCTGGGAGTTCTAGCCCTGATGGGGTGAGTAGGGAGGTGAGGCCCAGAGACAGGAGAGGCTCCCGTTCTTTGGAGTCACCCTCGCACCAGCAGCTCTTTCCCGCCTCTACGAGGGGAGTCTCTGCCTCGACCAATCAGTGTCAGGAGGGCGGGGCAGGGGCGCCAGGATGCCGCGGGATTGGTGGAGCAGTGCATGCGTCCCCGGGGCATGCTGGGAGCAGCGGTGGCCTGGGAACAGCAGCAGCGTTGGAGCCGCGGAGCCCAGCGCTTCGCCGGGGTAACCCGAGCCCTCGGAGCCCTTGAAGCTCCGGGGGCGGCTTAACTTCAGTGTTTTGGCTGAGAACACCCTTAAAGCTTAAAATAAAACCTGCCTGCGGGGTGTGGGGGAGGACAGAGGAGTATACAAATCAGCGTCACCCCACCTCCCTCACTTCTGGTCTGTAGGAAAGGATGCTGGATGCTTGGTCTACAGGAGCCGGTGATTTGGAGCTGCCCGCCAGCAGACTCTCCAGATCCCCCCAACCCACACTCCCAGCCTGCCCCCAGATGCCCTCCCACACTTACAAAGGAAATGCAGGCGGCCAGGAGAAGGATCCGCACCAGGAGGTCTTCAAACTGCTCTACCACCAACTCCCACAGGGACTTCCCTGAGGGAAGAGGCAAGGGGAGGGGGCCCCCGGGGTTAAGGTCTAACGGATGAACGGCTGGGACTCCAGGTGCCGGCAGGCCATTTGGTACTGAGAAAAGGGCTGAGAGGAGCTGGCCCGGAGTCCAGAAACAGGCTCCTTAAAGTGGTGGGCAGTTGTTCAAGGACTGGATGCCTCAAGGAGAAAGTGCCTGGAAACTTCTGCCCCCAGCCAGACTCTAACCTTTGGGGAGAAACAATTGCCCCAGGAGTTGGAAGGAAAGGGCAGGGAGAAGGGAGTGGGGCACAGAGGGGAGGAGGTGTCATTTATGAGAGCTCAGGGCTTCCAGTAACTTACCTTCCTCGGCAGGGAGCTCTGCCCAGGGAAAAAGAAGAAAAGGACATATTCATTTGGAGTTCAGTCTAATGCCGCCCACACCCAGGACTTTGTGGCTAAGGTAAGAGAATCAGGCCACCAAAAGGGCAGCCGAGATTCACCAGGGTTATCCCATAAAACTTCCCAAAAATCAGGGTCTCAGGGACCCTGTTTTCTTAGTATCCTCCCCTCCGTCGCAGTCATTGGACCATGTCCTACCTCTTCCCTAAGATACCCTGGAGGGAGAGGCTCCAGTGTGAGTGTGAGTCTGTGTGTGTGTGTGTGTGTGTCCATCAAGGGACACTTACCATTGTGGCCGTATTTCTCCAGATGCCGCTTAACTTGGTCCGGGGTAAGGCCTGTAGTTTCGCTCACCCCAAAATAGGCCAAACACTCTTCTGTGGTCTTGGAGTGTGCAGCCTCCATTGTGCTCCCTTCCTGGGGGCCAGGGGGCGGTGTGTTCCTTCTGGGGGGTTCTCACACGTCAGGGGCCTTCTTCAGTGTGTCCACCTGCCTGTTTGTCTGGGTTTCTTCCTTTTTCTCTTCTGCCCCCCCAAGTTATTCTTCCCTCCACGAAGCTCTGACCCCCGTTCCACTTGCAGCAGCCAGCCACCCGCCCCAGCCCCCAGCTGGTCCTTATGAGGGAGTGGGGGGGGGGCAGGTTCCCCCCTCCCCCAGATCAGGGATTGGCTGGCTGAGACTCTAGCAGGAGGGGTCAGAAGAGAGAGAGATTTCTGCTGACAGAGGGGGAACAGTGGGGCTGCAGCCTGAGATGTCACTCATGAGGGAAGCTAAGGTGGCCCCAGCCCCAGGGAAGGGGGGCCAGAGAGAGACTTCACTGTCTTCTGCTACTGAGCCCTCCCCCGACTGCCTCGACTTCTTCAGCTGCACTGAATTTCCTGTTCCAACCTCACCCCTTCCAGTTCTTCCCTTAAACCCACTTCTCCTCTCAGGCCTTCACCGTTCCCTTTCCTCGTGTCCCCTTCCCGTCTCATCTCCCTGAACCTGCCTGTTTCTACTGCCCCAGTCTCCTCCTTTCTCACTTACCTTGTTGAAAGGGCAGCAGAGATACTCCAACCCTCAGGGGATTGAAAAGGGGGAGAACATCCCTTGGGGGCGAGAGGAAGTGGCTCTAGAGGGACAAGGGGAAGTAGGGAGGGGAGAGGGTCAAGGGGACAGGGCAGAAGATGGTAACCCTACCCTAGGGAGGGGATGCCGCAGCCATCAACAAGGGATTTAGTGTCCAGGCCCTGGTGAGCAAAGCCAGGACTGCCTGTCTCTCCCCTAACCCCCCCCCTCCCCATCGCTCTAACTCAGCCACTGGGAACAGAGCCTTCAGGGCCTCGCATCCCTGACAGGGAATCCCCTCCACCAAGAAAATGGGATACCCAGGCAGCCGGGTAACCCAAGAGCCTACAGAATGTGCTGATGGCAGGGGGAGAGGGATCAATGTTTCAGAATGGGGGCAGGGGTCACCCCAAGTCATGGAATAAGGGTCACCTCATCCCACACTGTGCTCTCTTTAACCCACGGGGTTTACATGGCAGACCCCACGTGACGTGTGGTTGCACTCCGCCCTGGCCCTGAAGTAGCTGTCCTCAAAGGGAGTGAAGATCGGAGCTGTGTGCTCAGGCATACCCTGGGCATACCCTGTCGGCAGAGGGCTGAGGGAAGGGACATTAAGGGAAGGGGCTCAGGGAAGCTGGATAAAGCAGAGGCTCCAGACCAAAGGAATGGACGGCGGGCAGATTGATGGGGACAGGTCTAGGGGAAATAAGGACAGTCATAGCTGGGGGAATAGAGACAGGGCTGCCAGGGTCAGAGGGAAGTCTGAGGAGCAGTGGGGAAAAGGGACAGCAGGGAGCTGGCACGCGGCAGCCAGGTGGGTGGGGGCCCAGGGCTGGGTGCAAAGCCACACGCTGTTGCTGAGCGGCTGGCCTCAGTATCAGCTTCCTCAGAGAAGCAGCTGCTCTGAACACCCCACCCCCATCCCTGCTCTGGGATAGGGGCGTCTCTTGGTTACTACCAGCTGCGGGAGGAACAGACAAGAGGGTAGCATGGGGTGTGGGCAGGGGAGGAAAGAAGGGCAGAGAGGAGAAAGGCTGAATGAGAGAACGGTGAGAGGTCAGTGAGGGGAAGCAGGCTTATGGCCTTGGCCTCAAGTCCTTTCTCCATCTAGGCCTCAGTTTCCTGAAATGAACAGTGAGGGGTATAGGCCGCTGAAAGGGTTCTCAAGGTCGCTTCGCTGTCTGGCACTCAAGTTCCTAAGCAGACAATGGCACAGGAGACAGCGGGGCAAAGGAAAGGGAAGCCCCACTTTTGGGGGGGTGGGTAGGCCAGCAGGGGTGGATGGCACTGAAGGATTTAGCCCCCCATACCCATCCTTTCCTCTGCCTGGACCTGGGGGAGGGCAGCCTGTCGGGTGAGTTGAGGACACGGCGCTCCTTCCCTCTCCCTTTTCATGGGTCCAACAAACCCCTCCCTGAAGCAGAATCCTGCTGCGACGTGCGGGTGTGAGGGCTCAGACCATGGTGTGAGGTGTTGGGGGTCACATCCTCCACCTGGCCCAGCACCCACCTTCTTAGGCCAGAGTCAGGCTCAGCAACTACCAAGCCTTTTGGTGCTGGCTGGCTTCTCCCCGCCGCCACCTAGAGGAGTGACAGGGGCACTGTCTTACAGGAGCAGGAGTGCCCAACACGGAGAAGGGGGAGAAGACTGGACAGATCTCGTCTTCAAGGGACTGGAGAGCATGAGGCCGAGGAAAGGAGGCAGGCTTTACAGGGCACTGCTGCCAACAGGGCCCTGAAAGGTTATTCATTTCTGCCTCCCCCAGCTTCCCAGAGGGGAAACAAGCCAGAGAGGGAAAGCCACCAGCCAAGAGCTGCCAAAGATCACCATCAGGGAGGCTGGGTGTGAACTGGGATGGAGGCGCGTGCTTTCTTGGAGCCCTCACCTAGGGTCTCCAGGCCCAGAGGTGCAAGGTCTTCATCCCCTCCTGAGCACTGAAGCCGAGAATGGGAGAGGCGTAGTTCTGAAGGACACAGAGATAGAGCCTGCTCAATCCCCGACCAGTTCCGAACTTCAGCTGAACCATCCATAGACAGGCTTAGAGGGAAAGTGTCTTAGGCTCCTCCAGCCAAGACATGCAAATCTTGGGGGTTCGGGCGGGGGCGGTGAGGAGGCTCTTGTGCCCTTCCCCCCCCCCCCCCCCCCGCACATCTTCAGAAGGCAAGTCCCTGAGGGCTGGCAGGATTTAGGGGGAGGGGGGAGCCTCGCAGCACCAGTTGCTGCTAGATTAGGAGAGGATCAGGTCCTGCTTACCCTGGGGCGCCACAGCCTTCACTCGCCATCTCACTTTGAGAACACAGCATCCAGGTCCACGAACCATCCCCCTCCCTCTGCAAGGCCAATCCTATCCCCAGTCTCCTGAGGCCAAGCTTTGGGGTAGCCCCAGGGATTAGACAAAACCAGGAGAGACAACAGGCTTCCCCCATCTAGCCCCCAGGATGGGTGGCCTGTGAGCCCAGCTGTCTCCTGTCCATCTCCCAATAGGACGCAAGGCCCAGAATAGCAAGGTCATACGCGTGGTCATAGGGCCTCCTGGAGGTGGGGGCAGAGGCTGAGGGGCGTGGAAGTGTAGACTCCACACTGCCCGGGAAGGAAAGTGAGGCAGAATGGTTAAGAGGCGGAGCTGGATGGAGGTGGGGAAGGGAGAGGCCAACAAAACAGGTGGGATTCTTCAGAACCAGGCCCCTCCTTGTTGGCACCCACAAAGCTGGGAAGCCCAGGGGTGCCCTCGGTTGGAGGAGGGCACAGCCGCAATTCAGTCCAGAGAGGAGAGCCTGGGTTTAATGGTGGGGGAGGGGGCGCAGGGATGAGGAGATGTTGCAAACTCAAATGCTCACAGGCCTAGCTAGGCACATCATGTGAGTGAAGTGGGCTGGTGGGGATGGAGCAGATGTGGAAGGTGGATACCACGTGAGGCTGGATCTTCTAATTTCCAAGAGAAACCAGTAATCTGAACTTTTATGTGAAATTCCAATGGAAACATTGTCCAGGCCAAGTAAATCATGTCAGCAGCTCCAACCTAGATGAAACAGTTTCATCCAACCGAGATGAAACTTCCCATTTTACAGATAAGGATATTGAGGCCTGGAGAGGCTACACCTTGCCCAGGCCACACAGCAAATGAGAAGCAAAGGCAGGAGTGGAAGCCAGCAACTCTTTATCAACTATCTGGCAGCTTCCCAGCTTGGCTCTGAGAAGGGGGGCAGTCAGCCTGCCCTTGGGTCCCTCTGGCTGCCACATTAAATCTCTCCCAACACAGCCACTGTGACCCCAGCCCAGCCCCACTACAATCTCTCTCGACCTGCTTTCTCCCTAGGGTAGGAAGCCTTAACTTCTTAACTGAAGAATTCAGAGCAGGAAGGCTCCTTGGAGGTCATCAATCCTGCCGTTCACTGTCCTGTCCCATTAAGAGAACCTGGCTGGAGACCCCGAGAAGCACCGTTTGGCTCTGCACTTACCGCTCAAGAAACAGGACGGCCCCCCGAGGAGTGATGGGCCGAAAGCACAGGTCTGGAGAGCAACAGGGACTCAACCTGACCCAGCCCTCCAGTCTCTCAGCTCTGGTGCTCGCAACACTGGGTGGGCTGCCTTCCTGACCCACCTGTCCCAGTCCCCACTGCAAAAACTGGCCACAGCCATCACGATGGAACTGAGATAAACCCTTTTATTTATTTATGCTTCTCCATTTTGTTTAAAACAACAAGAACAACCACCTTAATATAACTGACAGCCCTTCCCCCTCACCCTTCCTTGGGCTGAGGAGTGGTTAATGGGGAAATGGCCCCCAGGGATGGGGCTGACCATAAGAGCCCCTTGGGGAGGTAATGGAGCCTGAATCCCCTGCCCAGGGGACGGGGCACCTGTAGTGTATGAACTGGGGAGTTAGCAGGGCTCTTGAACCTTTTTGTACCAACATGTATGCCCTTAGCCGTCAAGGGTCACGAAGCATGTGGGGAGGGGATTCCCACTGCTCCTCTATGTCCCTGCCCAGCCCCAATCCCACGAACTGAGGGCTGGGGAGCAAGAAGAGTGGAGAAAGGGTGGGGTAGGGTATCTCACACGAAGGAGTACTGGTTATTTATGGCTCTGGGATGGCCCCCTTCTTCTCCATCGCCCCCTAGTGGTAACTGCTGGAGCTGCAGCATCAGGGTTACCCCGGGGGCCCCACCAGATCCAGCGCCTCCCTGGGCCTCCGTGCCTGGTGCTATGGCCTCTTCCATTTCAACCACGGGGACCAGCTCAACCACGGGGACCAGCTCTTCCTGGACCCCTCCACTGCCCGCTTTCTCTTTCTCTTGCCTCTCTTTGGCTGCTGCGGCTGTTGCTGCCGCCACTTCTGGCGCCCCCGACGCCTCTTCTGCCCCAGGATGTGGGGGATCTGTCCATGAAGGGGGTGCAGGGGGCTGGGGTGGGTCATGGGAGGTGCTCGGTTCTGGATAGGAATGGTAAGAAGACAGACTGATTGTGGAGGGAGGCAAGCTCTCGTAGCAGCCTCCCCTTCACTCATCCCCCCAGGAGCCATGTGCTGTCTCCCCCGTATCCCATCTCCTGAGCAACCCCCATCCATGGAAGATGGATCATGGGCGGCGGTGAGAGGAGGACCACACTTACACACAGTCACTCGCTCCGAAGGGCATGAGGGTGGAGGAGGCATCGGGGTAGCATCGATCTCCCTCGCACACCCCTGCATGGCTCCCGGCCTGCTCCCGGCCTGGGGGGGGGGAGGGGCAACGTGGGGACAGATGGGACGTTGGGGTGGGGAAAAGGGAGAGATCAGACAGGGACATCAGACATCAAGGGAGGAGGGAGGGGGATCAGACCGAGCACCCCCAAGAAGGGCAGGCCCAAGGCAAGGTTGTGATGAAGGGCAAAGACAAGGCCAGGGAGGATGGATCCAGGAGACAGACAAACGATGGAACAGACGGTCCGATGGAATGGGAATGCGCCAACCCAGCTCTCCACTTCCTCCCGGCTCCAGCACGGAGCCCCCTGCCTTCCTACATCCCCGTGTACTCCTTTCCCCAAGAAACCCAGCACACAGGAAACTTCTCTACCCCTCTCTCCCTGACAAAGCCTCTCCTCCTCAAGCCCCCCGCCCCGTCTTTCTGGCACACACACCTCCTCACTTCTTGGGTGCACGGGCACCTCCTCCCCTGCAGACCTGCTCTGCTCACCCTGCTGTCGCTGGGAGGACACGACATAGCTGACAAGGACAACGTCACTGGAGCCTCCGGACTCCAGAGGGATGGGGTGCATCCGGAAATGCTCGAGCATATCAAAAATGGACTGGAACCACAGGTGCTGAACCCGGCACTGACCTTCCTCATTCAGCGAGAGACGCAGGTGCTGAGGGCAGGATGAGTGGGGTAAAGCAGGAGCCCGAACCCCGCCAGTCACAGAACCCTCCTCCCCTGATGGCAGCGCTCCCCACTCTACCCGCAGGCCCACTGCCTACAGCGGAGCCTTCTCCTCACTCACCTTGGCCTTGCCCTGGAAGTTGAAAGTGAGGACATATTCACCCCGTCTCGTTTCACTCTGACGTACCAGGAAAACGCCATGGGAGCCAGTACCTCCAGCCAGCACTAACTGGGCGGCCTTGAGTCGAGAGAGCATCCCGTGGAACCAAGGATACCCTGAGAGGGGCTGATCCCCCTCACCTCCCTCTGGCTCTCCCTGGAACAGTAACGACCCTTCAGGAAAGAGAGAGGGAAGGAAACTGAGGTGTCAGAGAAGCCTCCCTCATCCTGGGAAATGAAAAGCCTTGCTTTCCCCTCATATATCACTCCCTGTCTGTTCCCCCACCAGCCCCCCAGGTCAGATCCCTCAGGATCCCAAGACAAGAGTTTCTGGCAGGTGGTCAACCAGGCTTGGAGGCAGACACACACTCACACCTCTGGTACCTGTGGCTGTTTCCGGAGTGTCCAGGGGTGGGTAGGGGGCCGAGAGGGGATGAACTGTCCCTGCCGGGGGTCCCTCTTCAATGGGGATACGGGGGGGCAACTCTGGGGGAAGCAGTTCCATTGAGTCAAAATGGGAGGCGGCAATGGAGGCGGAACTGGGGGAGATGGACGCCGAGGGGCGGTCTGAGAGGCCCCCATATGCCCCTGGAAAAAAAAAAAAGAGGAGGGCAAAATTGAGAGCTCGAGAAGCTACTCTTTGGGAGGATTGGTCTGCTTGGGCCCACTTCCCCACCAGCCACGTTACCCTGGGTACACTGGTGGTCAGCTGGCTGAAATGCTGAATCTTTCTTCGGGCACTGAGCCCTGATTGTTATCAATGACTCCTAACTTATGCTTCACGCATTGCTGAAGGACTGCAGTTATTCCAACAAGGTCCTAGAACCCTAATGTGCCTACATCTCTTCTGAATCAACAGTTGAAATCACAGCTATAGTTGCAGAGGTGGGGATGGGGGTGGGTAGAATCCCTCAAATATTTTCACGTTAAAAAGGGGTCCTTTTTTTGCCTGCAGGACAAACCCCCCAACTCTGAGAGGCATCAAAGATTCTCCTTCTGTGACTCCTCCCAACCTAACCAACCTGGTCTTCAGATTAACGTGTGTTCTTGTGCCCTCCGCTTTAACCCGTCTAATTTTTCCAGCTCTCCGGGGCTCTCCCCATCTCAGGTCTCTGCTCTCCTAGCTTCTCCAAGCCACGTTCTTTTCTCACCTCGCCTGTGTAGAATTCCCCATCTATCCCACCTCCCATGATTCTCTTCCTCCTCTGAGCTCCCGAGGCTTCCTGCTGGTGCCGCTCAAAGGACACTAAGCACAGGGTCTCCATTTGGGAGTCCTGCTTTTTAGAGGGAGTGATGTCTTGCCAACTCCGCTAGACTGTGAGCCCACGGGGCAGCTCTGAGCTCCTTATCCTGCCCCAGAGCCTAACAGAGGGTCGAGGATGTACTGGGGCGCTCCTCAATGTCTGCTGAGCGGCAGGCGTGAGCCTACAG